GGTCAAATGCCCAGTAGCCAGCTCCTTAAGGAGAACTGAGTCCTTTCCCATCTGAGCCCCCACCAGAAGCCCTCTCAATTTTGGAGAGCTACACTTCAGCATCCTTATCACAATTTTAAGAGTTCTCTTTGATGGTTTCCTGTCTAGGCTGTTATATCCAAGGGCCATGCTGGGCCAGGGGCCATGCTGATGTGAGTGACCTGAACATCCATGAGACGCTACGTTGTTGTCCTTGTTCTGTGCTGCTAATAAGGGCTATGTCTGGGTGTCTGGGTCTGTGGTCCTACTGCAGCCAAGGGTATGTTGTTGCTTTTTAGGTGGAGAAAATTTCTTGAGCCTTTTGTTTTCATAAGTCTTTGGAATTAACTGGGTGGAGTCTTGCCCCGAAGCCCCACTCCCTTTATTCTATTTCAAATCAGGCCTCTCATTAGCTCTTTCATCACAAGTCTTGGCTCCAATATTAAATTTCCTGGTGCTCCTTTCCCCACCAAACTGTACATTTTGTATTTCCTTTTGCTCAGCTTGTTCTTTTTCATTGTAGATATACCTAAGAGTGATTTCTAACAACCACATGGCAAAGTCAATATTAGGCTGTCTTGAAATTTTTGCTCATGAAATTATTCCATGATAATTTAAAATTTATCTTTTTAATTTAGCTTCAGGCAGATTCTTAGGACAAGGGCAAATCACAGCCACGCTCTTTGCTAAAATATCACATGAAGGTCTCTAGCCCAGCTGGTAATATTGCTCCCCCTGAAACCTCTTGAGCTGGCCTCCATACCCACATTGCTTTCAGCACTACAATCTTCCAAGTTTCTGCTTGGATGGTCTGTTAATCCCCACTTATAGGATTCAACCTTTTTTCTAGTCCAAAGTCCCAAAGTCTACACTCCTCAACAAACAAACAAAAACCCAAAAGCAAAAGCAAAAGCAAGCAAACGAAAACCCCAAACAAGCCAACCCCACCCCCTAGGAACCCCCCAAATCTAAAACCTAACATGGTGACCTTGTCACAACAATAGCCTTAGTACCAGCTTCTCTCTTAGTTGCTTTTCTATTTTGATGATTAGACCCTATGAACCAGTTACACTCTAAGTTTTACTCTGCCTAAGAGATCCATGAAAGAAAAATGCTTCCAATCTGCAAGCCCCTTGCAGAAGGACAGATAGTTTCTGAAGTGCTGGAGGCTATTGTTTATGGGAGATGACAAGTCCCATGTTTCCACTCCCCTAAACGAGTTTGTTTGACTCATCTGTACTGGATGCGCTTGATCACATGTGTGTGGGAGGTATGTAGGTAGGAAATATGTCAGGATGTATTCTTGCCTCTGATTGGACCTCGTGGGAAATGTGGTGAATTATGGATTGTGCCTTTTTTTAAAAAAAAATATTTTTATTTTATAATTAATTTAATTTTACATATCAGCCACAGATTCCCCTGTCCTCCCCCC